AAAAACCCCAAAAAACAAACAAAACAAAAACTCAACAAAAAGTATTTCAAAGAAAAAGCAAATATTTATCATTACACTAAAATGTCCAAAAACTACTCACCAGCGAGAAGAATAAGTAATCCCACAAACTTCCAGCCCACGGTCACATATCCCATGATCCTCCTCCTTCCGGTGCTCACTTCTGTCTTGTTCTGACAATCCCTCGGGAAAACCTTTCAGACGACCCGTGTCTGACGACGTCACAGCAGACGATAATCGCAGAAATACAAAATCACAGTCACTCGCGTAGCAAAACGCTTCTACACCGCAGGGCACCACTGCTACACCAAAGAACACCACTGCTAAACTAAAAAATATTTTTTTCAAAGTATGTTTTGTTCTCTCCGATTTCTGTTCCTTTTTTGACGAGAACTTTTAGTCCGTGTATAGATCTATCTTGACAGCTGTGTCGTGCCTCATAAAAATGCTGTGGAAGAAAAAGAAACGAGAAAATCGTAAACACAATTGCGTTGTGAAGCTATTTTTGTAGGATTGCAACAGTGTGAATATATATGTCAATAAAAATGGTCTAGTGAAGTCATTTGGTAAATGCAATCGTACATGGATCGACATTTGTGAGACGAGCTGACAAAATGAGTTACTTCTCACAATCCACAAATAGAGATATTAGCCCAAAATCAACACTAGGGCCAAATTAGTAGATTTTCTATTGATGTCATATTCTTTAAGTATAACATGCCTTATATTATTTCATAGTTATAAATTGTGAAAACTTCCCCTATAAGCGTGATGTAGCGATTTCCATAGGGCTCGAATCCGAGAAGTAACTCATTTAGTCAGCTCCCTTCACATTAAAAATTTGATAAAGTACTGCAAACGCACAAGAATACGCCAAAGCCAAAACGACATCGTTTAAAACATTACTATTTTATATGATGATAGCAACATGAAGTAATTGGTAAAGTACTGCAAACGCGCAAGAATACACCAAAGCCAAAACGATATAGTGTAAAACTCTTTTATATGATGATAGCAACATGAAGTAATCCAAAAGGACTGTTACGTGAATTCCACAGTATTAAGTCAACAGCAATCGAATTAACAAGGGTATTACGATTGTATTTCGTGGAGCTATTTAGTGTGATAACAGCAAAACGAATTAAGCTAAATGAAACAAATGTCTAGTGAGCTCATGTGTATGAACGCAATAACATCAGATATTCTATATCTTGCGTAGGTATAAAACTTTACTTCATAACGAGTCGTAAAGGAATTTTCCAAAAGAAAACATTAACATTGCTGATTAAAAATAAATAAATAAATACAGGTACGCAATTATGTATACCCCCCCCCCCTTCCGAAAAAGAGGGGAAAAATCACGTGTGTGATCAATTATCACGCCTTTTATCTAAAGATAAGATTAACCAAGTGGACGAAATAAGAAATCCCACACATGAGAAACCAAAGAGAGATGAAATTAAAACAAACGTCAGTCACGAGTCTTACTTAGGATAAAGCCCACATTTAAGGAGCTTAGCCTAATCTTCACCCGAGTATAACCCATTGAAGCCGAATTCGAGAAATACTTAATAGATCTAGAAGAAAGCTGATATCAAATGAATTGCCGCCTCTTCCCACGCCCCCCTACCCCCACACACTTCTCTTCCTCTCCCATCCTTCCCCATTCAAAAGAGAGAGAAAGATTGTGAGAGAATGAGACGAGAGAGCGAGAGAGAGAGAGAGAGAGAGGGA